ATGGCATATAACAACAACATGAGTAAAGCATCCACTCAAAGTGCAAGATAGAACAAGGCATTTCCTTGACAGAGTTTCAAATTCCATAACCTTTAAGAATTCCACTAACCTTTAAGAAACTCTCATTTGTCCATTTCTGGTATAATGTCAAAGAAGTCCATCCCCAATGATCTCAAAAGGCTATTATAATATTCTTCCTTTTCCCAACCACATTTCTTTTCAAGGCTAGATTTTCTTCATATATTTCAACCAAAACAACATCACTACAGATTGAATGAAAAAGCAGATATAAATACCTAGGTTTTCTCTATTAAGAAAGACATTAAAAAGATTTGCAAAAATGTACAATAATGCCACTGTTCTCACTAATTTTCTTAATAATGTACTTATTGTTGTTGCTGTTATTCTCATTAATTTGGGGGGAGGGAGATATGTTTATTTTTCATAAAAATATATTCTTTATGTTAACCTGTAAAAGGTTAATCATAATTTTAAATGAATTAATATATATTTTTTAATATCTGCTTTAATTTTTAATACCTTAAATATCAAATAATCCACATAACTAAAGGTTTTTGAGATCTTCAATCATTTTGAAGCGTGTAAAGAGATCCTAAGACCAAAAAGTTTCAGAACCACTGTTCTAAATAGTTCTCCAAACAGGACAGTCTCCCCTAACCATTCATAGGAAGAGAGTGCTTAAAGCCAAATCTACAGCAGAAAATTATCACTTTCTAAAAAGGTTAGGCAGGTTAAGGAGAATCTTCAAAGCTTGTTACCACTGTAAGAGTTCATTCTCACAGTTAACATGTGAGTTCAAGAAAGGCAAGTTAAAGTCCTTTTTTGAATGATAGGCTGCATGTCTGCATCAAGGATAAAGAAATAGCTGAAACTTCTTTTGATTAGGCATCCTGTTTGTTCTCTACATGTGTGTCTCTACAGATTAAGGAAGGCGCTCTTGTGGCATAGTACATAAGGCATTTGGATGCTAACCAGAAGCTTGGCGGTTCAAACACATCAGCTGTCAAAGAGGAGGAAGATGAGGCAATCTATTCCGGTAAAGATCTGCAGCCTTGGAAACCCAATGGGAGTCACTATGACTTGGAATCCACTTGATGGCAGTGGGTTTGGTCTGGTTTGGTTTATAGACTAGGGAGAAACTTGACCTCATATGATTCAAAAAAGACAAAAAGAAGTTGCAAATGGATTTCCCCCATGGGCTGGCAATTTCTACTCAAGGGGAGCATTATGAAGTGTTAGAATATTCCATTACTATCATGGTGCCAAGATTAACTGCAGAGATTCAGCTGTAAGAGGGATGTGAGAATTCTTCTTTTATCTGTCTCCATTCCAATCAACAATGACAAAGCCACCCCTAAGGATAAGGACCTTTAGGATTCTTCTTTCAGTCTCAGCAATGTGAATGCCTGAATATTATTTAGGCTCTGAACTAAACGAGAAATAAAAACCAGGTAATTTTGTCATACTTTTGGGGCTTGTGCATTGCTATGAGGCTGAAAGCTATGCTACTAGTCCTTCAAATGCCAGCAGGGTCACCTATAGTGGACAGGTTTCAGCAGAGTTTCCAGAGTAAAACAGACTAGGAAGAAAGGCTTGGTAATCTGCTTCCGAAAATTGTTGTTGTTGTTATGTGCCGTTGAGTTGGGCCCGACTCATAGCTACCCCTCCTTGGGTTTCCGAGGCAGCATCACTACAGAAGTAGATTGCCCCATCTTCCTTCTGAGGAGTGGCTGGTGGGTTTGAACCTCCAGCCTTCTGGTTAGCAGTCAAGTGCCTTCAGCACCATGCTACCAGAGCCAGTGAAAATCCTATGGATCACAGTAGTGCCCAACTGGACTCAAACATGATCACAAACATGTTGGGCAATATCTCATTCTATTATGCATACGGTCACCATGAGTTAGAGTCAACTCAAAGGCAGATAATAACAACAGAAGTCCTGTGAACCTGTTTAATCCATTTCAGCCTGTTGGTGTCCTGAAATTTCACTGGGAAGAATGAAGGCAAGATCTAACTCAAAAATGGGCTGCCATCCAAGACGCAAAATAGGAGACACAAAGCAACACCAGCCAAAGCAAGAACTGACTGGAAGTCACTCAATACATTCTTCAATCTGTATCTTGATCATGGCAAGCAGCTTCCATGATGCCACTTGCTAGATGGACCCAGTCAATCTTGGGTGCAGACCAATTACCATTTATTTTTCTCCAGCCTTCTCATACGTGAGGAAAGAATAATGATTTACCTGAACCCTGCCGTCAGTTTGCCTGCATCTGAATTGTGACTCTACATGTTGTAATGACTCCATGTCTGAGGCTTGTTTCCTCCTCTAAAATAAGAAGAACGACAATGATTACTTACAAGACTCCGGTAAGGATTAATTTACAATGTACAGTAAAACCTGTGAGAGCCAGAACCTGTTAAAGGCAGAAACCTGTCAGAAAAGGAAAACTCAAATATTTTCCTAAAATAAAACTAGGATAGAAAAGTGGTAAGCCTGAACCCTGTCAAAGGTGGAAAATTTGTGGGACCCAGAAAACAAGGCAATCGCCTAGAGTTGTGGTTCTCACAGGTTTCACTATTTAAAGCACTTAGCACAGGACATGGCACACACTCAATGCTATTAGGGACACTCTTTGCTTCCAATTCCCATCCATGAGCGTTCCTTTTCCCATGAGTTCTCCACATAACCTTTCTCTCCGGGTTGCTGATACCCGAAGCATTTGTGCCTCATATCCCTGAGTCATCATCATTAAGATGCAGAGTTTCCGAAGTCATCCCTCCTCTTACTGGTCTCTAGGGCTCCCTCTCCTGACTGCTTAGCTTTCTTGGGGACGCAAACCTAAATTCTGATTGCGAGCTACCGGAGTTGGAGGAATGTCGCCAGCCTCCTTAGCCCTGAGATAACCCAAGAGGCGGCGACAGAGCCCCGCGGGACTCGGAAGCGCGCCCCAACCTAGCACAGACAGCGAAACCGGGGGCGGGGCGGTACCTTGAGGTGATGACTAGGCTGGGGGCGTGGCCACAGCCCGAGGTGACAGCAAGGGAGGCGGAGCCACAACCAGAGGTGCGAACGAGGCTGAAGGCGGAGCCGCGCCCAGAGGTGGGAGCGAGGCGGGGGGCGTGGCCGCTCCTCAAGAATCCCTGGGACCGTTAGAACTGCGCCTGCCGCCTTCACAGGCGGCGCGCGCAGCTGTCCCCGGGCATGAGGCAGCGCAGGGGTTAAGGAGGCCGACGCCACCTGGACGCCGCTGAGGAGACCTGCGAGCCGGCGAATCCCGCGCGGGCGCAGCG